AGCTGGAGAAAGCCGACATCCTGGAGATGACTGTCAAGCACCTGCGGAGCCTCCAGCGAGCCCAGATGACCGGTGAGTCCCGGGGGTAACTACGGGGGGGAGCAGGGAGGCCCTGCCTGCGTCTGGGGCGCTGGAGGCATTGCGCTTCCTGCCTTCATCCTCGGTAGTGAGGGTACCAGGGACACCGAGCTCCATACTTGCACCCCCAGTACTGGGGGATGGTGAGGGGCACTGTGCTCTGTACCTGTATCCCTGGTACAGGGGGCCAGTGGGTTCCTCACCTGGGTACTGGGTGGCACAGTGCTCCCCCCTGCATCCCTGGTGCTGGGGAGTGGTGAGGGGTACCGTGCTCTGTAGCTGTATCCCCAGTACAGCGGGGCTGTGGGGGTCACTGTGCTCTCCATCTGCATCCCTGGTACTGGGGGGCAGTACCCGGGTCCCCTCTACCAGCAGAGCTGTGTTCCCTATCTGGATCTGTTTTGGGGTACAGGAGGCACAAGAGCCACCAGGGAGACTGTGCTCCCAGCCTGGATGCCCAGTGCTCAGCGACGTAGGAGGACTCTTGGGAGTTGTCTGTTCCCACCTGGGTCCTTGATGCTGGTGGACTTGGTAGCGGAGAGGCTGTGCTCTCCATCCAGATCCTCAGTGCCCAAGAGCACAAGACACACTGCCAGAGGGGCTGTGCTCCTCACGTGGATTTCTGACTTAAAGGTGCTGCAGGATGTAATGCCAGTGGGCTGCACACTCCTGTTCCCTGCGGAGCCTGCTGACCACTGTGCACCTCTCTCCCCTTGCAGCTGCACTGAGCACAGACCCCACGGTGCTGGGAAAGTACCGTGCCGGCTTCAGTGAGTGCATGAACGAGGTGACACGGTTCCTCTCGACCTGCGAGGGCGTCAACACTGAGGTGCGCACCCGGCTCCTGGGCCACCTGGCCAGCTGCATGACCCAGATCAACGCCATGAACTCCCCTGCCCCCCCACCACCACCTCCGCTGCCACCAGCTGCGGCCTTTGGGCCACCTTTGGTGCCGCCAGGCAGTGGCACGGGGCCACTCCCGGGCATGCCCTGCAAGCCAGGCACTGACGCAGCCAAGGTGTACGGTGGCTTCCAGCTGCTGCCGGCCTCAGATGGGCAATTTGCCTTCCTCATCCCCAGCACCGCCTTTGCTCCTGGCGGTGGTGTGCCGCCCTTTTTTCCGCCACTGCCGCCACACCGCCTGGCCCACCACCTGGCACAGCCGACTCTGTCTGGAGACCCTGGTGAGGGTGGCAGGCACCAGACTGGACTGAGCACCACACCCCGTGCTGCTGGCACGGCTGTACATAGGTTATATGTTCATATTGGATTGTGCCTTTGTACCATAGCGCTCCCTTGACAGTGTTTCGTGTTTTACACGAGATCTTTTTTCCTTCCTTCCCTCGCCTTCCTTATGTGACACCAAAGATCAGGGGTTTGTGGTTTTTTTTGAATGCTCTTAAAATAAAAGTGTCCCTTCCATTTTGGAAGGCCTTTGGAGATAAGCCGGAGTGCTGGCATGTGTGCATAGGAGGGAGCCCAGCTCCTGGCTTGGTCCTTGGCTGCCTTGTGGATCCTGTTGCTCCAGGGCTGCCTTGTCCTGCTCTCCAGACTGGAGCTGTCGCTCAGACCCTCTGTCCCCTCTGCCTTCTGGTGAAATTACCTGGCCCTTCTCCCTGCCCCCGGGCAGGTGTAATTACTGCTTCCTTGGAAGCAGCTCAACTGATCAGACTTGTTAAAAAGAGCTTATGTTTGCAGAGCTGGTGAATGCGCTGAGGGAGGCACCTTGCCTCTCTTCCTGGCTCCTCAGGCTGATGGAGTGGAGTAGCCCAGGTTAAGTGAGATGGGTTCAGCACGGAGCCTGGCTCCCGTCTAAGCTGCCTGGGTGAGCTTCCTGCCCTGGACCCGGAGGGTCCTGCTCCCAGGCCATGGTATAAATTGCAAATGACTTCAGTCAGTTGATGTAGAGAGCAGTGCCTGCCAGCTTCTCGTGTTACAAAACCAGCGGCTCTCTGCAGGACAAGGCTGACATGGGTGCTCCTGGCTGACAGGCTGCAGCAGGGGCTGGGCACCACCTCAACCTGGACTTAAAAGCAGAGAGCTGTTCCCGGCCCTGAGCACCAGCCAGGCTTGGCTTGATGATTAATGCTCTGCATGTGTTTTTGATAGAGTTGGGCATTTCCTCTGCTGTTATATGAAAAACATGTGTCTGGGGGAGTGATGTGGGGCTGCGTGGACTATCTCTGTAACAGTGAATGGCAACTGACCCCTTTGACTTGGTCATGCCCCATTTCCAGGCAAGATGCAAGCCCTAGATAGAGGTGAGCAGCAGTCTCAGGTTACAGCTTGCATTGCCCTTCTTAACAAGTCCTAACTCAAAGTGGACAGCTTTAAACTGTGCCAGGATCCACTGGGGATTCCTTCCAAATCCTGCCGCAAAAGCTTGTCGGGTTTTGTCTGGATCAGCCAGGTGCTTGACTGTATCCAGGTGCTGGGGGAATGAAAGCTGGGGAGAGTGCGAGACCAGACAGATTAAACCTGCTGGGGTTTGAATCCCTCCCCAGCTTCTCCCCCCTTCTCCCTGTATACAAACACAGCCTCCTGATCTGAAAATACTTCTTGGGAAGGATTTTTGGAGAGAGAGAGAGAGGATGTGTCTGGATATCTTTCTGCAGGGTGTACTGATGAGGATGGGACCAGTGGCAGCTCTTTTTTAAAAGGGGCTGCAGGGGATGATCTCCCTAGGTGATGCAACAGAGCTTCCTCTCCTCTGTTTCCCAGTGCTTTTGCAGGCCTGTCTGTGATGCTACCCTCACAGTGACATCTTGCAGCCAGGTTTTGTCTGCCAGGCTTGGGAATATTGGATTTGCTGTGGCTAGGCAGGTGTGCAGCTGTAGAGGCTGAGCCTGCCTTCCCTTCCACTGGTGGTAGTGTCACCTCTCTGTGCTGGAGGTACCAAGGGTGAGACTGAGCCCACCCTGTGTTCAGAGAAGCGCTTGCAGGACCAGTCTGTCTGGGAATCGCATCAGACCAACTCCTGCTACTGGACAGCCTGTGTGGATGTGATGCAGACAGACCAGCAATGCATCACCTGTAAGAGCTGAGGCTGTTCCAGCTTAGCAGTCTTCCTTTTTTGCTCAAGCAGTTGGTTTGGAAAGTGCATTAGAAAAAAAAGACTCTGCTGTAGGCTAATGGAGAACATGTAGCAGATCCAGGAGTGAAAGACAAGATGAACCTCTTTGCTAATGGAGTTTAAATAGCCTAGCATAAAGCAGATATGCCATGCTTGGACCAATTTCTTCAAGGCTTTCTGTGTTTACTCTATCCCACAGCCTGTTGACATGAGAGATCTGCTTGAGTTTGTGAGCTTTGAGGGGATCAGAGTAATTCCCACGAGCTGTGCTCTTGATGCCAATTCACTGAGTCCGTGACAAATTGGGATGACAAATGCAGGCTGTGGGTCATTATGTGCAGGAGTTGCCCTTCAGTTGCGGCAAGTGCTTCCAAACTGGTGCTGTGGGATGAGCAGGCAAGGGTGAGGGAGGGATGGGAAGTGCCAGGGAAGGGACAGGGCTGACCTGCTGGATGGTGGCCTCTCATTTGGCTGTGACCCTACACGGAGTTGTGCAGTACAGCTAGGAAAAGGGACGGGACTCGGTGCTGCCAGATGGGATGCAGCTCCTGTTGGCTTCCCTGGACACTCTGGTGAGCCCTGTGTGCCAGCAGAGAGGACTCTGGGCAGGGCTGGAGCCAGGTTTGTCCCTGTTGGTTATCACTCTTGGGCTTGTGAGCAGTTCACCCCAATCTGGTGTGAGCGTTTACAGCCCAGAGAGCACTGAGCTGGAGGGAGCAGTGCTCCATCCCTGCCTGCAGTGCACCTGCATGGGAGTCTGCGGGCGGGTGGCTCTGCCAGCACCCCGCCATGCTCCCCACCCACCATGGGGCTCACAGCCCCAACTGCCCCTTGCATCCCTGCAGCTCCCTTCCATCAGCCGCTGCTGCCATCCCGGGAAACCTGTCATTAAAGTCAATTAACTTTTCCCACACTCCTCACGAGTGGCGCAAAAACCCCTCCTCGCTTCCTCCTTGGCTTTTAAGTGCTACCATATGGCACGGGCCCCCACACACCCGCCCTGCCTTTGATTCCATCCAGACAGCCGGAGCTTTATGATTTAAGCCGGGAGAGCCCTCGTACCAAGCCCTGGGCCGCTCTGCGGCCAAGGTGGTTTTTTTAGCAGGCAAGGCTGTTTTCTGGCAGGAAATGAATAGCTCCCAGATGAGCTCAGGAACCTGAGAGGTCGTGAGAAAGGAGCGAACCCCCGGCGCGGTGGCGGGCTGCCAGGCGGCGTGGGGAGCGCGGGAGGGAACACGCCATCGCTGCCGGCACACGAGCCTGCTCTGGCCCCCGCTGGCAGGCGGGGAGGGTGACAGCCGG